GGAAAGAGAAATCAGGTGTGTGGGGATAGATAGATAGATAGATAGATAGATAGATAGATAGATAGAGCAAGCAGGCTACAGCACCAGTGTCAGGACACCTGGCTTCCCTTCCCAGCTCTGGGAAGAGAGTGGGGGCTGTGCTGAGTTAGGGTGGCAGAGCTGGGAGCCAGGTCTCCTGGGTTCTCCAGTCACATCTGGGTGCCACCTGTTCCCCATAGAGGCTAGGGGCAGCTCCTGCCCAGGGGCCCATGTGGGCACCCATGGAGTGAGCCCAGCATGTGCAGCTGGGGAGCATCGCGTCTGCCGCCCAGGGCCGGACACGGCTCTGATGAAAGCGCCATGTCAAGTTGTGCTGTGACTCACTCCTTTCTGAGAGTGGCAGCTGAGGGGGAGCAGGGCCTCCTCTGACCCCAGCCCCTGCAGCAGGGAAACTGAGGCACAAGCCATCCACATCATTTCAGTCTGTGCAGCGGAGCTGAGATGAGGACCCAGGAGCCTGGGCTGCCTGTCCCAGCCCCGCTCTGCCCCTTCCCGGACCTGGGGACAGAACCCAGGAGTCGGGACTGCCTGCCACAGCTCCCCCTTGCCTCTCCCCGATGGGCACGGACCCAGCTCAGCTACCGGGGGGGGTCCCTGCTCCATCCCCTGCCCATGGGGTACGCTGCACCCACCCGCTCCCCTAGCCCTGGGCTCTTCCACCTTCGTGCCCTCCGTGCCCGGCAAGAGCCCCCCACCCCGCTGCGCCTGGCACCGCACACCCACAAGGGGCCTAGGCCAGCACCCCGCAGGGCCACGTGCCCCCGCTCCGCTCGCACTTCCAGGCTCCTGCGTGCGTGCTGATGCCCACGCGTGGGCACGGACCCAGGTGGGGCTCCCCACACCCCAGCCTCCTCCGGGGCACGTCCTGGCAGCCTCCATCACCCCGTGGCCCGATGCCCGCCCTGACCTGCTCGGGCCCCTGGAAGCAGATCCTGCATCGCGGGGTCCGTGCCCCGCTGTCCAGGCTGCTGCTGAGCGACACGGCGTCCAGGGCGGCCGCGGGCGGCTGGGCC